TCCGAAGCATGGCCTCCCGTGTCCTTGTCTCTGGTCTTCCCCGGTCCCTCCCTCCCCTTCCTCCGGGGCCTGGCCCTACCTGCGTCCCCTGCGTCGAGGGGCGGCAGCGGGCTGCCCCTCACTCCTCCCAGTTTCCTCCGACAGAGGCCCCGCTGCAGACGCTTCACATGGACGTGTGGGGCCCGGCCCGCGTCCGTGGACAGGGTCACGAGCGCTACTTCCTGCTGGTGGTTGACGACTACTCGCGTTACACCACAGTCTTCCCCTTGCGCAGCAAGGGTGATGTCACTGAGGTGTTGATCGACTGGATCCGCGCAGCTCGTCTCCAGCTCAGGCAGAGCTTCGGCTCGGACTTTCCTGTTCAGCGTCTGCACTCTGACAGAGGTGGAGAGTTCTCCTCTGGCCTTCTGCGAGCCTACTGTCGTGCACGAGGCATCCGCCAGACCTTCACGCTTCCGGACTCTCCACAGCAAAATGGGATTGCTGAGCGCCGCATTGGCATGATCATGGATGTCGCCCGTACGTCCATGATGCATGCGGCTGCCCCCCATTTTCTGTGGCCGTTTGCGGTTCGGTACGCGGCGCATCAGATCAACCTTCACCCCAGGGTCTCCATGCCGGAGACCTCCCCAGCTTTGCTGTGGACGGGGAAGGTTGGCGATGCGTCTGCGTTCCGTGTCTGGGGATCTCGGGCGTTTGTCCGCGACTTGTCTGCGGACAAGCTGTCCCCTCGTGCTGCTCCTTGCGTCTTCCTTGGCTTCCCCCCTGACGCGCCAGGGTGGCAGTTCTACCACCCCACCTCTCGCCGTGTTCTGTCCTCCCAGGACGTCACGTTTGACGAGTCGGTCCCCTACTACCGCCTCTTCCCCTACCGCACTCCGTCCCTCCCCCCGCCACCGCTCTTCCTTGTCCCAGGTCCCCCCCCGGTAGACCCCCTCCCCCCTCAGGGTCCTGCCCCTTCAGGTGTGTCCCAGGTAGACGCAGTCGAGCCTGTCGAGGTTACTGGTGACTCTGGTGCTGCTGAGGGTGCTAAGCCTGGGGGTGCTGACTCTGGGGGTGCTGAGCGTGTGGGTGCTACGCCTGGGGGTGCTGAGCCTGAGGGTGCTACTACTGGGGGTGCTGAGCCTGAGGGTGCTGAGCCTGGGGGTACTACTACTGGGGGTGCTGAGCCTGGGGGTGCTGAGCCTGGGAGTGCTACGCCTGGGGGTGCTACGCCTGGAGGTGCTGAGCCTGGGGGTGCGGAGCCTGAGGGAGCTGGGCCTGCTCGTGTGGCGTCTGGCGGTGCTGAGCCTGGAGGTTCTCCGGGTGCTTCGTCTCGACGGGAGGCACTCTCTCCACAGGAGCTGCGCGAGTGGTTTGCCCGGCGCTGGAGGCGTGCTGCTGGAGCTGGAGGTTCTTCGACTGCTGAGGGTGCTGGTGCCGCGGGTCCCGGAGGTGCTCGTACTGGGAGTACTGGAGCTGCTGGGCCTGCGGGTACGACTGGAGCTGGAGCTGCTGAGGGTGTTGGCGCTGAGGCTACTGCTGTCGGTCCTGGAGGCGGTCCTGCTGGGGGTGCTGGAGCTGGAGGTACTGCTGGCGCTGGTGCTGCCGCTGGGGGTACTGGTGCTGTCCCTGCTGTGTCTGGAGTCGCCACACGGCCTCGGCCGTACTTCGTTCCGCTCCTTCAGCAGGTTCTTGGTCTCCCGCCTTCTACTGGTCCTCCTCCTCCCTTAGAGTGTCCACAGCCTGTCCCGTCACAGTTACAGTTACAGCCTGCCTCCCCACTGCCCGCTCCTTCTCCCTACACTGGTCCTACTGGAGGTCTTGCTGAGCGTCGTGAGCCTGCGTCTCGCCCTGCGTCGCCTGTCCGTGCCTCTTGCACTAGTGGTCGTGGTTCGCGTCAGCGTCCTCCTCCTGTCCCTGGCACGCACCGGATGTCTCTGCGTCCGTCCACTGCTCCTCTGCGTGCCCCTTTGCCTTCTCCTCCTGAGTCCTCTCTTCCTGCTCTTCCTGACCCGGAGTCGGACTCTCTTCGTGCTGCCAGTCCTACTGTCACGCGTCTCCTTGCTACTGTTGTCACTGACCCTTCCTTTGAGTCCACTGCTGCGTCTGCCCTAGTTACTGAGCTCGTCGACTTTGCTGCTCGCTGTCGTCTAGACTACGCTGCTAGTCTTGTTGCTGAGTCTGAGTCTGTCTGTCCTCCGTCCGTCGGGGGTGAGTGTGCCCTTGGCACGGACGTCCTTGAGGACAGGCAGGAGGAGTTCCAGTGTTTGGCTGCTGCTTCACCTCATCTCGTGTCCGTACTGCTTACCCCTGAGGGAGACCCGGATGCACTTGACATCCCGACTCCGCGCTCTTACGCGGAGGCGATAGAGGGTCCCTACTCCTCTCAGTGGCAGGCAACTATGGACGCAGAGATGGCTTCCTGGAAGTCCACAGGCACCTACGTTGACGAGGTTCCCCCGCTTGGGGCGAACATCGTCAGTGGTATGTGGATTTTCAGGGTGAAGCGGCCGCCGGGTTCTCCGCCTGTCTTCAAGGCGCGTTACGTGGCTCGTGGCTTCAGTCAGCGGCAGGGAGTTGACTACTTTCAGACCTTCTCTCCCACCCCGAAGATGACCACTCTTCGGGTACTGCTGCACATAGCTGCTCACCGCGACTACGAGCTGCACTCTCTTGACTTCAGCACAGCTTTCTTGCAGGGCAGCCTGCACGAGGAGATCTGGCTGCGTCGCCCACCTGGCTTCACTGGGTCTTTTCCTCCTGGCACCCAGTGGAGCCTCCGGCGGCCAGTCTACGGTCTCCGCCAGGCACCGCGTGAGTGGCACGACACACTGAGGACTACACTTGCGGCTCTTGGGTTTGCTCCCTCTACTGCCGACCCGTCGCTGTTTCTGCGCACCGACACTTCTTTGCAGCCGTTCTACATCCTTGTGTACGTCGACGACTTGGTCTTTGCCACAGCTGACACTGCTGGACTCGCCCACGTGAAGTCCGAGCTGCAGAAGAGACACACGTGCACAGACCTGGGTGAACTGCGCAGCTACCTTGGCTTGCAGATCACACGGGACAGAGCATGCCGCACCATTACCCTGACTCAGTCACACATGGTGCAGCAGGTCCTTCAGCGCTTCGGCTTCACGTACTCCTCGCCTCAGGCCACTCCTCTGCCTACTCGCCACTCGCTCTCAGCTCTGCCTTCGGATGAGTCCGTAGAGTCGAGTGGCCCGTACCCAGAGCTTGTTGGCTGCCTCATGTACCTGATGACCTGCACACGACCTGACCTTGCATACTGTCTTAGCATTCTTGCACGCTATGTTGCTCCTGGGAGACACAGACCGGAGCACATGGCTGCAGCGAAGAGGGTGTTGCGCTACTTGTGCAGTACATCGGGCATGGGGCTTGTGCTTGGAGGGCAGAGTCCAGTGGTCCTCACTGGACACGCAGACGCTTCTTGGGCTGACGACCAGGCTACGCAGCGGTCGTCACAGGGTTACACCTTCAGCCTTGGTTCCGGCTCTGTTTCGTGGCGGGCTACTCGCTCGTCTTCTGTTCTCGGCTCCAGTTGCGAGGCTGAGATCTACGCCGGGGCCATGGCTGCACAGGAGCTTCGCTGGCTCACCTACCTGCTGACTGACCTCGGAGAGCCGCCTCGTTCTCCTCCAGTGCTCTACGTAGACAACAAGGCCATGCTGGCCTTGTGTCGAGAGCAGAGACTGGAGCACAGAACGAAGCACATTGCTCTTCGCTACTTCCTTGCTCGTGAGCTACAGCAGCGTGGTCAGCTGCGACTTGCGTACGTGGCCTCTGAGGCCAACACTGCTGATATCTTCACCAAGGCACTTGCGCCTTGTGATCATCAGCGCTTCTGTACTCAGCTGGGTTTTGTGCCTACCTTGCCTCACTTGCTCACCTCTTGACCTTGTTTGTACTGTTGCATATATATATACTCCTGCTCTTGCTTGTTTAGCCTTATATATATATGTAATCCTGCATGTGAACTGGCCTTGTGGCCTTGAACTTGTGCTCGGAATGTGTGGTGACTTTGTGATCCACCCTGAGCTTGCTTTGCTTTGCTTGACTGGTCTTGTGACCCCTTGTTCTCCCCCACTTTGCCTATGGGGGTGTGTCAGAGTTATTTGACATAGTTACTGTAGGCTATAGTGGGGTAGCACATATGGGGTACAGTTTCCTAGGGTTTGCCTTTTGTACCCAACTTTCACTTAGTCATTTCATTCCTGTTTTCTTGATTCACAGGCAGATGAGAGCAGCAGAGGGACCACGGCAGCAGCCCTAGGCACATAGTGCAGATCCAGGGGCAAGATGGACTAGAGTAGAGGAGAACCAATCCCATTACTCTTCCATCTCAGTCGAGTGGAGTGCTGCCCCCCCTCTCCACTCACCGCTGGCAGCTGCGGGGTGCAAAACAGTGGCGGTGTTGACCCCCACGCCCCTCCCCTCAACCTGCAAGGAGCAAACTGTGAAGCAGTAAGTGGTGGGGCTGTGAGCGGTGTGCATAGGTGGGGTGCGGTGGCAGGTGACAGCAGCAGAGGGCCACCGGAGCACCTCTAGGCACAAGGTGCAGACCCAGGGGTGAAACGTATTTAAGCAGTCTTTAGGGTTACAGGGTGGGCTTTATCAGGGGCTGAAAAAGGAGGGGGTAGTACCTGGAATAGGGGGGTCTGCACCATGTGAGCTAGGCTGCTTCAAGTGGTCCGGTTTCATCCAGGGAAGGAGGCATGCAGCATGGATGGAAAGATGAGGTGAGAGTGCAAGCAAGAGAACGGCTACGCTGCGACAATTGAAAGCAGAGAGAAAGAGGAGGCAGAGAGGAAGAGGCTTGGGGTGATGTACTTATCTGCTGCGGCTGGTAGTGGCCCTGCTCCTCCTAGCCCTCTCTGCTCCTCCTAGCCCTCTCTGCTCCTCCTAGCCCTCTCTGCTCCTCCTAGCCCTCTCTGCTCCTCCTAGCCCTCTCTGCTCCTCCTAGCCCTCTCTGCTCCTCCTAGCTCTCTCTGCTCCTCCTAGCCCTCGCTGCTCCTCCTAGCTCTCTCTGCTCCCTGCCCCTCAACCAGCTTCACAGCCCCCTGGATCCTGGGGGAAGGGAAAAAAACAGGAGTGGAGGGGGTCGAAACAGGAGAGACAGAGAGGAACAAGAGGGCAGAAAGGCAGGCAAATTAGAAGGGGGATGTGCGGGCGGCGATGTCGAACGGAGGGGAAGAGGGCAAGGCGCCAGTGGAGGAGACATAGGCACACAAGCCCCAGACCCCCAAGGGAACCTGAGAGGGTAGATCTGAGGGGGCTGTAGAGCCTTAGGGAGGCTGAACCTGAACCTGAGGGTTTACCTGCAGTAGTGGGGAAGGGGGTCCGTGGCTTGGGAACTGGGCTCCAACCAGTTGAGACAGTTTGACAGGGACGGTGGGCAAAGAACATCCACGAGAGGAATAAAGAGCGGCATGCAAGGTTAAGTCCAATCAGGCTTAGGGCATGTTGGCATGAGCGGTGAGGTTTGGTTGGCTCCAGAGAGAGTGGCAGTACGAGAGGGCAGCATGAGAGAGCAGCACATTAGTGCGGGAAATAGACGTTACTGGCTGCTCTATGCCCATGTGGTGGGTGATTGGAAGGATTGGGAAAGAGGGGATGGCAGGAGAAGAGGAAGAGATGTATTAGTGGGCAGCAGGAGAGGCCAGGGGGATTGGTGATGAAGAGACTAGTAGGAGTGACGGGAGGAGTGACAGTTCCAGTTAATCCCTCATTGGCACCTTGAAAAACACAGCAGCAGGGTATTCAGCCAAACCTGCCATCGACCTGCCACTGACCTGCCATTGACCTGCCATTGACCTGCCATTGACCTGCCATTGACCTGCCATTGACCTGCCATTGACCTGCCATTGACCTGCCATTGACCTGCCATTGACCTGCCATTGACCTGCCATTGACCTGCCATTGACCTGCCATTGACCTGCCATTGACCTGCCATTGACCTGCCACTGACCTGCCATTGACCTGCCATTGACCTGCACTATCTCGTGGGCAGCCCACGTCCCTCACAGCATGCACCTCCTTCTCCCGCTTTCTTCCTTGCGGAAGGAATCTACATGCACCCAGCAGCGTGGTGCTACCAGTGACCTGCTGGTGACTCGTGTTGAGCCCACGCCCTTCTCACCACACGCATCCTTCGCCCTCTGCTTGCTCTTAAGGAAGAAAACTGCCACGGGGCACCCAGCAGTGTGAGAATGGGAGGGGGAGTGGGAGGGGAAGGGGGAAGGAGAGGGGGTGGGAGGGGTGGGGGAGGGGGAGGGGGAGGGGTAGGGGGGAAAAGTACGTTCAGCCAACTCTTCATGGGTAAGGATGGAAGATTATGGAGGCCTCAGTTTATGCCTATGAGTGGAAATGCTGTTCAACAGAATCTGACATGGCTGGCAGGGTGTCGTCGTAATTATGACGTTTTTTTTATCTCCGTCAATTGGTGCCATTTTTTTATCTACGCCAATTGGTGCCATTTTTTTTATCTACGTCTGTGATTCTAATCCTATACCGTGTCGGATAGACGTTCATCCATGAATGCCACACTTCAACCCAGACAAACTATTGACTCACAAACAAGTACCAAACAACCCAGCCCCCCACCAATCACTCTCTCACTCACTCACTGAAAACGCACCTCCAATTCTCCCTTTGCTTGTCCCAGACTCCCAACACCCAGCAGCCTTGCCCAGCTTCGCCTGCAGGATCCCATGCACCTCAGCCTGGGTGAACATCCCATGCACCTCAGCCTGGGTGAACATCCCATGCACCTCAGCCTGGGTGAACATCCCATGCACCTCAGCCTGGGTGAACATCCCATGCACCTCAGCCTGGGTGAACATCCCATGCACCTCAGCCTGGGTGAACATCCCATGCACCTCAGCCTGAGTGAACATCCCATGCACCTCAGCCTGGGTGAACATCCCATGCACCTCAGCCTGGGTGAACATCCCATGCACCTCAGCCTGGGTGAACATCCCATGCACCTCAGCCTGGGTGAACATCCCATGCACCTCAGCCTGGGTGAACATCCCATGCACCTCAGCCTGGGTGAACATCCCATGCACCTCAGCCTGGGTGAACATCCCATGCACCTCAGCCTGGGTGAACATCCCATGCACCTCAGCCTGGGTGAACATCCCATGCACCTCAGCCTGGGTGAACATCCCATGCACCTCAGCCTGGGTGAACATCCCATGCACCTCTACCACATCAGCATCCTCTGCTTGGGTGAACAGTGCGCCCGCCCCGTACGGGTGGGAGTCCGCGGTCCAGAAACCAGTACAGTAGAAGCAGGTGCAGAGCTGGCGGTACAAGGGGTGGATGGGGGAGGGAAGAGGGTAATGGGTGCTCAAGGGGAGGTGCGGTGCAGCCTTGGCGAGGAGTGCACTCAGCAGCCCGCAGATTCAACAGTGTGCCGGTTCGCCGTTACGCTTTTGAGGATTCTCAGAAGCGATCCAGGACTTAGGAGCAGCGCGCAGGCAGCCTCAGCAGCCTGCAAGTTCCATGTGAATAGTGCAAGCATGCTGCAGGAGTGGGAATTCATGGGCCATGCTGCAGGAGTGGGAATTCATGGGCCATGCTGCAGGAGTGGGAATTCATGGGCCATGCTGCAGGAGTGGGAATTCATGGGCCATGCTGCAGGAGTGGGAATTCATGGGCCATGCTGCAGGAGTGGGAATTCATGGGCCATGCTGCAGGAGTGGGAATTCATGGGCCATGCTGCAGGAGTGGGAATTCATGGGCCAGAAACCGGTGCAGGAGAAGCAGGTGCGGAGATGCGGGTACGACGCGGAACGAGGGTTGGGAGATGTGGGAAGGGGAGGGGAGAGTAAGAGGGTGAGCAGCAGTGCACCTAATGAGACGTCTCAAAATTAATCATCGCAGGGGTGAGAATCTGTGGGTCGATACCGCGGGCCAGAGTGGGTGTAAGAGAAGCAGGATCAGAGCTGGGGAGGAGAGGGGGGGAAAGGGGAAAGGAGGAAAAGGTGCAGTGGCTTATGACAGGGACGGGGAAACTGTGCTGTAGGGACACGCGATGACATCAGATGAGCGGAGGATAGAAATGGGGCTGAGTAGTAAGAGGGGATCAAGAATAGGAAGGGGAGGGGAAGTAACTGAGGGGGGGTGGGGTAACGTATCTCACCTTGGCTGCAACCACCTTTTCAACTCACCTGGCTCCAAGGTGGTTGCTCGATCCACTCACCCTCACAGCCATTCCACTGCCACTTGCAGCTACTCCACGGTGAACCGTCACCAGCAACTCCCACCAGCAACTCCCACCAGCAACTCTCACTGGAACAAGCTCACGGCACTTGGGCTTGTTCAAGTTGTTTCTGGCTGAGAATTCTTCCCAAGAGAATTTCCTTAGAAGCAAGGAAGAACAAACAGAAAGAGAAACAGCAACTACTCTCTAATTCCTACGAATGCATTTTTATATGTACAGTACATTTACAATTCAGACATGCGGCTCGGAATGTCGATTCGGGTGGCCAGCCCCAACATCGAGCCGCATTCCATATTTCTACTCACATTTGTACACCTCACTGCACCCACACACGTGTTACATTTCTATTCCTCCAAGTATGGACTTTCGCCACCTGTCCCACGCGGAAGTCCCCCCAAGTCAGTCAAGGCACGAAACCTCAGTTTTGCCCTTCTCACGTGGATCCCCCACGTCCTGCTCACTTCCGCCCCTTTGCTGCCCACGTTCGCAGTTGCACGCTGCTGCTGCATGCTTTCGCCTCCCGTGCGCTTCACGCTGCCTCCAGTGCAGCCCCCACTTGTTACATTACCTCCCCTCCCTGAAGGCACCGTCCTCGGTGCCAATGAGGCAAGATACACTCCAATGGCACGAGGAGCATGGCTGAGGTTGGAGAATGGCTCCCATGAATCTTCAGATGCAGATGTGTTGCGCCAGTGAATGAGGTATTCACGGCCAACCGAAGTGTCACGGTGTGAGAGGATGGTGTCGACCTCATGCAGGTCCGGATGGGCAGAGAACATGGGTGGGCGGGGCTGGAATGGGTGAGAGGGAGTACGGTAAGGTCGAAGAAGGTGAACATGGAAAACAGGGTGTATGGTCATGTGAGGAGGAAGTTGAAGGCGGTAGCTGACCGGTGAGAGAACCTTGGTGATGGGGAATGGTCCAACGAATCTGGGAGCGAGCTTGCGAGAAGTTCCAGCATTCAGCAGGGGCAGGTTAGCCGTTGAAAGCAGCACCAAATCACCAACTTTGAAAGTGGTGTGACACCTATGCTGGTTGGCATAGCGAACTTGGCGCTCTTGTGCAAGCTGAAGCTTCCTTCGGGCAAGTTGAAGAATGCGGTGATGAGAAGAGATGAAATCTGCTGCTGTGGGGTTAGAGGAATGAAGAGAGTGAGGGAGGGATGTGACTGAGCGTGGTAGCTGTCCAGTAGCTAAAAGAAACGGTGGTTCTCCTGTGGCAATGTTGGGGCTGCTGTTGTAGGCAAACTCCACTGCTGCCAAGTGCTGATCCCAGTCAGTTTGCATAGAATTCACACACGAGTGTAGCGCATCCTCCAAGGTTCTGTTCATGCGCTCTGTCTGACCGTCAGTTTCAGGGTGGTAGGCTGTAGAGAGTCGAATCTGTGTGCCCAACAGTTGAAACAGTGCAGTCCAGAAGTTGCTGAGGAACCGTGTGTCTCTGTCACTGATTATGGCTGAGGGCAGTCCGTGTAGCCTCACCACGTGCGTGAAAAACAGCTTGGCAGTTTCAGCAGCAGTCACTGTGCCAGTTGTAGGGATGAAGTGAGCCATCTTGGACAGCTTGTCAATCACCACGAGAATGCTGTCAAAGCCTGTAGGGGTGCGGGGTAGGTCTGTGATAAAATACAGAGAAACACAAGTCCAGGGGGCTGTGGGTATCTCTAATGGTTGCAGCAGACCAGCTGGTGCAGTGGTGCGAGCCTTGTTGACCTGACAGGTAGGACATGAAGAAACATACTCTGCTACACTCCGGGACAGTCCAGGCCAGTAGTAGTCACGAGAAATGGCAGCATACGTCTTGTCACTGCCGAAGTGTGACCGGTTGTCATGGTACTCGTGTAGTAGCAGCTGGCGAAGCCTGGAGTCATCAGGTACACACACAGCACCAGAATCTGCACGGGTCCAAAAGGGATTGCTGAAAAGAAAGGATGGGTCATGGGGGGCTTTCTGTTGGTACAGCTGATCACGGTTGTAACCACGGCTGAAACGAGTGATGAAGTTGCGGTCCCATGTAACCACTCCCATGACATTCAGCTCCTCTGCTGCTGGCCGTGACAGAACATCCGCCGAATTGAAGCGCCCTGGTTTGTACACAATCTGAAAATTGGGAACGTACTGCTCCAAAAACTGAACCCACCGCGCTTGCCGTGGTGTGATCTGTGACTGTGTTTTCAGGTACTCCAGTGTTCAGTGATCAGTGAAGACTGTAACGGGCTGCATCTCCACATAACAGCGCCACTTCTTCAGTGCATGCACCACAGCAAGTGCCTCTCTCTTGTGAATGGGGTATGTGCGCTCTGCAGCAGTGAGCTTCCGTGACTCAAAGGCTATTGGCTGCAGCCCAGCTTCCTGCTCCTGGCAGAGAATTGCTCCAAGGGCAACGTCTGATGCATCACACCAAATGAAGTATGGGAGCTCTGGATTCGGTACTGCTAGGGCAGGGGGTGAAGTAAGAGAAGTGTTGAGCTGCTCAAAAGCTTGCTGCTGCAATGGTCCCCAACTGAATGATGAGTCCTTCCGTAAGAGATCGGCCAGAGGTGCTGCCACTGCTGCAAATCCCTTCACAAACCGCCGGTAGTAGTTAGCTAGCCCCAAGAAAGCCTGCACCTCCTTCACTGTACTCGGCTGCTTCCACTCCTTCAGGACTGCTACCTTGCTGTTGTCTACTTCCAGCTTCCCATGTGAAATGACATGACCCAAGAAAGACAGCTTGGTCTTTGCAAACTCACACTTTGAATGCTTGGCATACAATCTGTAGTCACTCAGACGTGCAAGGACCAGCTCAAGGTGCTTGAGGTGTTCCTCACGAGTGCGACTGTAAACCAGCAATTCATCAATGAAAACCACCAGAAACTTGTCAATGAAATCACTGAAAATGCTCTGCATCATGCCTTGGAAAGTGGCTGGAGCGTTGGTGAGACCAAAGGGCAACACACGAAACTCATAGTGACCGTACCGTGTTCGGAATGCTGTTTTTGGGATGTCCTCACTCTGAATCCGCACCTGATGATACCCCGAACGCAGATCCAACTTCGAGAAGTACCGTGCCTCACCAACTTGCTCAAACAGCTCATCTATCCGTGGCAGTGGGTATCGGTTCTTCACTGTTATCTTGTTCAGCCCGCGGTAATCTACACACATCCGCAGAGAACCATCCTTTTTCCGCACGAACAGCACCGGAGAAGCGTATGGAGAAGAACTAGGTTGAATGAACTCCTTAGCTAACAGGTCCTCTAACTGCTTCTTCAGCTCCTTCAACTCCACTGCACTCATCTTGTAGGTCGGTCTAACTGGTGGGGTAGATCCAGGAATCAGCTTTATCCTATGATCTGCAGCTCGCTTAGGAGGAAGTCCAGCCGGTAAGTCCTCGGGAAACACCCCTGAAAATTTTTCCAGCAGCTTCTCTACACCCCGTGTTAACTCCTCATCCTCATGTGATGCTGAAACCGTTGGTGTTACTGCGTCGGGTGATGTAGGCTGGACCTCTGTGATGAGACCTAGAAAAACTGCTTCCTCCCCCCGAATGGCACCAAACTGCTTCGCACTAATCAGCTGCAAGGTCATCCCCTCCTGCTGCTGCACCACTGGTAAACGTACAGATCTGCCCCCAAACAGCACCTTGACCTCCCTGGTTCTCCAATCCACCTGAGGGTTCACTGCTGCCAACCAGTTCCTGCCCAAGATGATGTCATGACCGTCAAGCCAGATTTGTTGGAAAGGGATTTTTCCATGAAACTCCCCTATGTTGCAGCTGACCGGGTACAACTCGGGTCCACAACTCCTCACTACACCATCCGCCATGCGCACCGTACTCTCCACTGTACTGCTCTGCACAGGTAACTTCAATTCATACACCAGCGGTGGAAAGGAGTAGGAGAAGGTAGGAAAAGAGAGGATACGGTAGAATATAAAAGGGGGTGAGAGTGAAGTGAAAGAGGGCAGGGGAGGAGAGGTGAAGGCAAAATGAGAATTTCAGCAAGGGATGTGGCTAAGGGAGTGAAAGCATGGTGAGAGGAAGGCAAGATGGTATGGCAGAGGTAGGAGTGGGAGAGCAAAGTGAGAATTTTAGCAATGAATGAGGCTAGGGGAGTGAAAGCATGGTTAGAGGAAGGCGAGATGGTATGGCAGAGGTAGGATTGGGAGGGCAAAGTGAAATTGGGGGACGATAGTGGGTTTGATGGCTAGAGGTGGTACCTTTTGATAGCGACGTCGAGTTCTTGCAAAGTGTTGTCGGTATGGTACCATCTCCTGCAGGCCAACATGTCGCAGTCTAAAAACGCTGCTACAGCGTCCACGATGTTCTGGTCCACCAACCCTGCAAGGACAATTGTAGCCACCTGCATGACTGCACGGTGTTCAAATGCTTAGAACTTCGCCGCACCTGCAAAATAACCACCCTTTTCATGACCTGGCAGCCGGAAGCCAGAGATGCAGGTGTCTCGAGCAAGGTTTTGCAGGACCTGGTCTAGCTCCCTTAGGACGTTTGTCTCCCTTGTTTTCTTCTGCATGACTCGAATGCATGACATGATGTGCATGAAAATTCCGAGATCGATAGCGTGCATGACCTCGATGAGTAGTGCCCGGTATGGATTTCCCACAACCGTCCTGCCCAAGGCAAGCCCCCATATGGCAGCCTGTGTCATGGAGGAGCAAAGTACATGCGAAGGGAAATAACAAACTTAGCATTGAGAATGTTGCAAAATACATGCGAGGAAACGACAAATGAAAGGCCATGGCTCATCTTGACTGGGTGAATGCTCAGCAGCTGTGCGGCGCCATTGCATGCGGTGACAGTAGGAATAGCGAGCAAGCCATCCACCTTGGCGCTCACAATTTCCATGTTACTAATGTCCTCGCGTTGGACTAAGCACCTATGACATGGATAGTTGGCCTTGTGACTTGCGTAGGTACCAGCAACCTTACAAGCTTCAGGTTGATCTGCGACGTATGCGTACAAAACCAAGTAGACGAGTTGTCGTTCACCCCACGGGTCCTTAATAATTATCCCACTGTCAAAGAGGGGTGGGGAGTGGGGTGACATGGGGCAGATAAGGAGTGGAATGGATTATTTACAAGATCGCTGATGTGTGTGAATATGAGAAGGGGCTGTAGTCGTTCTGATATGAAATGAGGGGAGGGAGCCTTGCATTCTCCAAGGGTGTCATGCTGCGTGGTGAGTGAGAAGTGTAGCAAGTGAATGTGAGTGTGGGTTATGCTAAGGGTATTAGAGTGGAGAGGTGGGGGTATTACTGTGCCTCTGTTTGTACCATGGTGGTTCTGTTATGAAGTGACCAGAGGTGTGGTGAGTGCTGATGTGAAGTGACCAGAGGTGTGGTGAGTGAGTGCTGATGTGAAGTGACCAGTGGTGTGCTAGGGGGGATTTGCAGTGACCAGAGGTGGGGTAAGGGGGACTTGCAGTGACCAGAGGTGTGGTGAGTGAGTGCTGATGTGAAGTGACCATAGGTGTGGTGAGTGAGAGTTGATGTGAAGTGACCAGAGGTGTGGTGAGTGAGTGCTTATGTGAAGTGACCAGAGGTGTGGTGAGTGAGTGCTGATGTGAAGTGACCAGTGGTGTGCTAGGGGGGATTTGCAGCGACCAGAGGTGGCGTAAGGGGGACTTGCAGTGACCAGAGGTGTGGTGAGTGAGTGCTGATGTGAAGTGACCATAGGTGTGGTGAGTGAGTGTTTATGTGAAGTGACCAGTGGTTTGCTAGGGGGGATTTGCAGTGACCAGAGGTGTGGTGGTGGGGATTTGCAGTGACCAGCGGTGTGGAGGT